GCGCGCGCGCGCGCGCGCGTGTGTGTTGCGTATGCGTGTGCGTGTGCGTGTGTGTGCGTGTGTGTGTCTGTGTGTGTCTGTGTATAAAATATGTATACCTATTGCATTCAAATTTGTAAACGATCGCGCGCATATATTTATAGGAAATTGAATTAGTCGTTTAAGTTTTCTTAACTAACAAGAGAGTGTACGGCAACACAAGAGTTGCTTGTGCGCAACACAATACTATCGTAGCAACATTATTCATGTGTTATTACAAACGAGAAAGCCACGAACCAGAAATGGCTCGTAAGGGAAATGGCGGTAACACAATCTACCTAATGATAACTAATACGTAATTCCGTACTATTGAAATCGCGCACATTGTTTCGGACATTCGAGGGGTAACATTAATGGAAGAAATCGAGAGCTGTAACAACAGATTTAATGCTGTGAACAAATAGTTCTATTAACAGCAAATTCTCATCGAATTCCTACGACGAATAGAGAAGCGCATAATTCGATGCAACATTTACACAAAAGTGTTAATGACAATCGAATTGTTACCACTTTATTACATTACTTTCATATTATAATGTGCATATTACTTTAGAAATGTAAATCCTATATTATTTAATAATTTTTATTAAATTTTACGGAACCTCGCTATATATATGTAACGAAATTAAGAAGTGGGAATCTTTTTTTTAATTTCTTTCATCAAAGTTTCAACAGCATTTTTGTTTTTTGGATAGACTGTAGTAATTTACATGCAAATATTATGCAAATGGATAGTATAACAAAAGTTGTATAATATGATAATGAATTTGAAGCATGTAAATTGTCATTGCTATTATTTGTACACAGAGAAGATATTTCACATTTGAGATTATTTGTCTGAAATTTAATCACATTATTGTATATACCGATTGAATACTATATGCTAATATATTTTAGTACTCTTATAGACTAAAATTAGCGTTATCTATATCGATGTAACTTGATGTTTATATTACTTGCAATTAAATGCACAAATGTAATCAATATGTGCATTAATTATATATTTTATTAGGATGTAGTGTAATATGGTTTTTTCTTCAAGTTATTTTGAAAGCTGAAGAATGAAGAATTTATTATTCTGATTTATTTCTTATTTGTATGAAGGATATATTTAAAATTATGAAATAGATTAATTAATACCTGCTACATTACGCGAAACAAGAATATTTAATGTGGTCATTTTATTGTGATCAATTAATTATTTCTTAGAATATGTATATTATTAATAAGAAAATATAATAACTTATTCTAGTCATCAGCAATTAATAATTAAAGGATTAATGAACGCGATATACAACACGCAATTTTACAAAGTAACGACATTTTTTTATTGTCTGTTTCACAGTGGTGTATTTAATACTTTCTTTTAAAAGTATTGCTTTTTTACTAATTCAATTAAGCAGTGAAATTCTTAAATTTCAAGGAATCTCGTCTCTGTACAAAAAGTTTTGTATAATTTGCATACTTGAGAGGAATGTTTTGCACGAAAAGATCTATATATTCCTAATTAAAAAACTTACTATGTGTAGTACATGACAGTCAAGAAGACAATCCTAAAGTTGTTTGTTTTATTGATTATTTTTCAAATAAGTATCTTTTTAATTACCTTTTTAACTATCTTTACAAATTAAAAAATCTTTTTTCACAATTAAAGTAGTATAAGCGATAATGTAATTCAAACTAGTCAACTTTGTGCCAAAAACGAAAACAGATTAGAAAATTGGTTTGTTTCATTCTTACGTGAACTCGTGAACAATATTTGCTTTATACACAAGTTTTATACTTTGTACGTATAAAACAATTTTGGAATTAGGGATTATATATGAACAAACAATACTAAATTCCTAGATTTAGGTACCTAATATTAAAAGATTAATTACCCTGGTAGAAATGTGTGTGTATACAGTTTTCCTAGAAATCTATTCAGTTATTATATAATATTACTATATTCTCATTAATTGTGCCAATACTGAGTAGGAAATGGACAAGAACTTGATAGAGGTTTTTTTCTGTCCATTTCTTAAGTTGGCTTGCTTATTAATCAAAAAATGGATTCAGATTTTACGCAACTTTTGTATGCAGTAACTGCAAATAAAGTGTTACATCCTGATTGAGATCGTAAGTTTTCCTTCTTAGTTATTAAACAAAAGTTGGCGTAACTATCTAATAACTGCTCAAAAAATAAATGAAATTTCTACCAAGGTAGTTGAAAATTTATACGCATTTGTGTGTGTGTGTGTGATAATTGATGTAGTAGTGTGTGTAATGATGTGTCAATGACACGTAAATCATATGTGTGTAAGTTCTACTGAATCAAAGAAACAGATAATTTTAGGATTCCCTAAAAATTTAATAAAATTCTGTTTGATATTTTGTGCGAAACTTTTATTACGTTATTTTTTAATTGACTGCTTGTACGCAAATTAATTAAAACTAAAGACTGCATTTTATTATTATTAACATTAATAACAATTTAATATTTGTAATATTTCTGAAGAAGAGATATTATTTGCGTTCATAGACGTTATAAATTTGATAAAAGTATTTGAGTGTTTGTAAGGTTTATTAATTTATTGTATTATATATAATTTTGATGTATTACGCGCGCCATGATAAATAATATATAAAATATTGAGCAAGAATAATTTTTGAATAATGTTTGAAGCTTAATTAATTTTTGCCAATGATGTGCAAATCGGTAATAAAATTCGAAAATCTCGGAAATATCGACTGACCCTCTCGAGGGTTCAGTCAGACTACGTACGAGAGGTCGCCAGGAATCGATAAATCAGTTATTTCGAAGGGCGCGGCGTTGTACTACGTCGGTATTAGGTTTCGTGATTCCCCGAGAAACACAAAGATGGCAACAGTGTAATGATTAACTTGCAGATGCATCTGTTTATTTGCTCGCATTGATCACACACTATTCCTTAAATAAAACGTTAAGACATCGTCTGGCTAATTAATCGAAATGATTAAGTCTGTGCTAAGGTTGGCGAAATTTCCTGGATTACAGGAAAATGTGTTAATTGATCACCGAGTAACTTCGGCATTTGCGCGTTTGACTATCAATATAACCTCAAGGAATATTTACACTACCCATTTGTGTTGTAAAGATATTCGAACAAAGCATGATAAAGTAAAAGTCGGCGGTTTAAAATATGGATTGGTTGAAGGAGAAACTATGCCGGAGACAACCAATATTAATCAGCAGTAAGTATCAGTTTCATTTGTAATTAAACATTCCCAGATAACATTTATGTTGCATAAGAAGTCTTTTAGACATCTTTTAGACATAAGACGTCTAAAAGACGTTTTTTAGATATCTTGTGCAACTTAAATGTTATCTAGGTTCTAACTTGTACATGTTTTAGTTTTACATAACAATTTTAGATTGTGTTAGATCAATTTCAATATGTTGTCTTAGCTGTGTTATCTTTCTTGTTATTGATTATGCAGGAAATCATTTTTATACTTATTGTGTTTTAGAGAATATCTATTTCCTGATGCAGATACGCCGAATCGACTCTTTAATGGTGTACCATATAAGGAATTACATATTATTAATATCAAATCAACTCCTAACAATACAATTATGTCTTTTACAAATTTTAGTGGTGCAGTGCTAAAGCTGCATACGGCAGGTATAGAAGGTTTTAAGAATGCTAAGAAAGGAACAAATCTTGCTGCTCAACAAGCAGCTATAACTTTGGGTAATGTAAGTATATATTGTGAATACGATTTATAATAAGGCTTTATGCGCAAAAAATATATATATTACGCTAAATAAAGAGAAAATGCATATACCATACATTTATCTTTAAAATATGTTTGTCTATTTTTAGCGTATTCTTGAATATGGTATTAATACAGTGAAGATACGAGTACAAGGTATTGGGGCTGGTAGAATGGTGGGTATTTTTAAAAAATTATTTCTTATTTTTCATGTATTGTGTAATATATTATCACAGCGCTGTTGAATAATATATTCTAATATCGAAAAATGTTATGGATTTCAGTCTTCTATAAAAGGTTTTCAAATGGTGGGATTGAATATTGTATCAATTACTGATGATACTAGAGTAAGTTGGAATCCACCAAGGCCACGGAAACAAAGAAGAATATAATTAGTTGCTATAATTTATGTATAGTTTATATAATTTTTATAATTTACTATAATTTAGATATGTTAATACATATTGTGCAAATCTTCCATGATGTGTATTATTTTATTTTTCCAAATAGTTGACGTATACATATATTGGAGACAAATTATGATTTTTTTAGGGCAAATACTTGGGAAAATTTCCTTGTATCTTGATGTTTTAATTTTATAATTAAAACTAGGACATTAATGTTAATTTCTAGGATATTAATTAACAATATAGACCTTTTTTATCTTTTATTTGCAATAAATAATTATTGTTTTGCAGTTTTTAAATAAATACAATTTATGATAAATTAGTTTGATGATGCACATGATGATAGTTTTTCTTTAGAGAAATGAATATGTTTCGATTGCGTATTGTATAATATATTTCAGTATTTTATATTAAAGTGTTTTTTCTTATCACCATTTTTTCTAAAACTGACTAGATTACAACTTTGGAAGAGATAACAACTTTAGAACTGTTAATATATATTTTTCAATATCTATAACATTATATTTTTGCGCAACTGATAAGAAATAAACGTTTAACTGAATCTTCAATATGAATATATTATTCGGCATTATTAAGATTTTTCTAAAATACCTAAGAGCATCAAATTATTAAATTGCTACTCGATTTAATTTGTGATATTACTTCGGTCGGTTTAATAATAAACCATAATATTTTCGCATAAAAGAAAAATTCTGTTTTAAATTGATCAAAGAATTTATTATTTAAATATATACATAAGAAATATAGATTATTTATTTATAAATTTATTAGTTATCAATGTACAATTTTTCAAGTTTATTTTTTTTTTTTGAAGAATGAATAATATATAATTTTATCATACTGTAAGAATTCGTCTACAGGATAACAGCACATTCATTTTTAAATGAATTTTTGATATTATTGAGTCAATTCAAATATAACTTTATAATTCTTTTTGGCTATTTCTATAGTATTATACGTACAAAATGTATTTAACCTGAATAATGAATATCCGTATACATTTATTATCGCGTTCAAATAGAAAGATTTCATGTTAAAATTACTCGTGTGTGATTATACCTATATTTCAAACATATGTATATAATTCGAATACTGTTTACAATTTTTGATTCCATTCCAAAATAATTTAAAATATTTTTTTATATGGTAATAACAGTTAATAATGATAGTCCTTAATCCTTGTATTCTACTTTTAATATTGACAAAGTTATAGTTTGTAAAAATTATTATTTAACGATGATTTTTAATATAATATTTTACTGAACACACGTACGTATGCATACACAAAATTGAATCAATTAAATTGGAATTGAATATATATATATATATATGTTAGAAGGATTATTTAAACATTATGTGTGAAATAAAAAATTATAAATTGTTTTGTAACTTGTATTTGTATATTTGTAACATGTACGAGTATAGCATTACAAATGGGCATTTTTTATATTTGATTGTTTTACAAAATATGCAGACTTAAGAAAATGTTTTATTTAAAAATAGATTTAGATAAATCTATCCATTAACAATAATTTTAATATTATATATTAATTATCAAATGTGAAGAAAGATATTTTACATTTATATGCAAAATAACATTTTTATTATAGACATTTTTTTAAATATAAATGTATAAAATAATACATTAAATATTGTAATTATAATATAATTACATATAAATTAAATATATTTTTGAAATTCATTTTTAATAAAAATTGCTAACATATCTATTATCACATTTATTATTTTGTTAGCTGACTATCTATTTTGGCTAAAAAATGTTTACAAAAAAGTACAGAAAGATATGTACTATAAGATTGTAACAAAATCTTAGAAAGTCTTAGTTTTTTGTAATGAGACATAGAGTGGCATTCTTTGTCTTAAAAATTCTTCGTTTTTCGTAAATATTCGTAGTAGGACATAGAGTGGCGTTGTTTATTTGAAAAATTAAGAAATCTTATGCCCTTTTCATAAAAATTTGTAATATAGCGTCGTAAACGTACTAATTTGTACATATTTTTATGTACTTTTATGAAATTCTATAAAAATTTAACTATCGTAATATTATAATAACTCGTAATATGAGGCGTCGAATGGCTTGCCGTTCGGTGCGATTGACTTGCGCTCTGTAGATCCGAGTTCAATCCCCTGCGCTCACATACGCGATTTTTCGCGTTTAAGGAGACTTCACAGTACATTATTTCGCAAAATTATTTCACATATTATTATGGTATATTAATGTTATATAAAATAAAAAATAATGCATTTTTATAAATTCGGAGCGCGAGTGTGGCATAGCATAGACAGAGTATTGGTCTGCTATACTAAAAGATCAGGATTGCCACAGATCTGGAAAAAGTCAGGGGAAAAGTGTAAAAGAGTCTAGAATTTTGAAATTTGCTCACAATTTTCTTAAACTGCTCCTATTCCAAGTAATTGTAATTTTTTAAATATTATATCTGACATTTATAATCAAATACGTTCAAAATTTACGCGATTTAGATGATTTTCATAAAATAATTAAGATTCGTATTTTGTTCAGTATTTTTATTTGATTCTTCTTTTTCGTCATAATTGTATTCTTTTTTTCAAAACTAATTTATTTTTTGCTGGCTTGAATTTATACCAAATTCTCCAAATTTAGAAATTACTCCAAATTTTACTATGCTACTAAACTTTTTTTGCGTTGTTTTTAATAATATAGATTAGCTTTCCTAGATTCCTTGAGTCTAAATGTAAAAATTTACATATTTTATATTAGTCATGGAACATTTTCCATTTTCATCTAGAAAACCTAGGGAATCCCAAAATTCATTTTCTGTGGCAACCCTGAAGATATCCCAAGTTCGATCTCCGGGAGAACTGAAAAATTTTTGTACACTCGTAGCTTCTCTCGGAAGGCAATGGCAAACAGTATACTTGCCCGAGAAACTTGTCTCTCTACCAAAAATCGATGTTCGAAATCGTATGCAAACGAACACTGAACGAATAGCAAACATTCGGACATTTTTACTTGCAAATCACATAATTACATAATTAAACTTGTGTATAGTATATAGTATACTATAAGTATATATTATAGAGAATAGAGACCAGGAGAACGAACTTGGATGATACAGAATATTAGTACAGAAAAGGTTATAATTTAGGCGAACAGTCAAACAGTGAACCGTGATTTGCACGTCTACATCGCGCACAAATCGCGTACGAATTGTCTTTGATGTACCGTTTCATGAGGAAACCGAATCGAACGCGAATCGAATGTTCGATTCTCATTCGCTTTGACGTATACATCTACTGAACGCAATCAATAAATGTTCGCGTTCGCTATTTGTTTGATGTTCGTTTGCTAGGTTTTAAACTATAAGTCCTCCATCAAAGACATAGAGCATGGACTGCTCGATCGTATCTAAGTAATATGGTCGACAAAAATGAGAGAGAGAGAGAGCCAATCTTTATTTCTTTCCATTCAACGATATAATAAGAAAGAGAATGAGAGAGAGATTGGCCGTCTTCCATGGTCCCTATCTTTCATTTTTGTCGTACCATACTACTTAGATACGATCGTCGAATTTTTAGTCTCCATATCCACCTCGTGTACGATCAGTGACTACGTTTACACTGTGCGCTTATTCCGCGACCTATGATAGATGTCTTTGTTTAACCTACAGGATAAACAACATATTGTATATATAGGTCGTGATCTAAATGCACGATGTAACCGTAGCCATTGTGCGTGCACAGTGATATATGAGAGGGAGGCACCTACGTGCTGAGACAGCGTGTGGCACTTGAAAAAAAGAAGAATATTATTTATTTTTTGCATTTTCGCGTTATTTAAAAGCATTAAAAAATTTGTCCTTATTCGATTAAAAATTTTTCCGTCAGAGCCATATTTTACGAGTATAATAAAATATTGGTAACGTTGTAACAGACTTTAACAATCCAATCAGCTAATTGACTTGCTGATTTTTTTTCTCTATTTATATCAATGAATTATGATATATAAACTAAAAGGATTACTAACTTGAATAAATTGTCCTACTCATTAATGCAATGCGCCTTACTATACATGCAACCGAGCTCGCTGTTAATTAGAATTAAAACAGCAAAGCAGAAATTCGCATTTTCTTTCGCATTAAAGTTTATCGACCAGATTGTGCTTCTTGCGTGATCCAAGGGACGTAATCGGATACTCTCACGTAAATGCCAGGAAGTCGTGATCTGCTACAGCCAATACCGGTTGAAACCACTCCGATGACCATCAAAGGCTCGGCTGGGTAACTTTCAACCATCAGGGGCCCGCCGCTGTCAGCCTAGAAAATATAGGAGGCTTGCAATCGTCCTGTAAGCTACCGTGGTTATGGTAAACGATGCGGTGCAAATTCCACTTGCTCTAATACGGATTGCAGGGTTGTGGGAGTATCCATCACAATGGGTTTCGGTATCGTTCCACGCGGATCCGGATCGTAAATCTCGTTGCTGGGAATTCTCAAGATGGAAACAGGCGTTTAACGGCATTACATTTATTGTCATCGGTATTTTGTATAGTATATTAATATTGTTTCAATAATCTAAAGAATTTTTATGTTAAGCTTTTCCTTCATCTTATAGAAAATTACAAGAAAAAATTAATATTTAATTGTTTATTTATATTTAGTTGTTGATTAAAAAATGTTGATTCACGAGATTGAAGAGAAAACAACATTTTTTTTGTAGAGAATGTTTAGTTTGTTAAAATGCTTCTATAATTGAACAATGGATACAGAATATTCTGGAAATTGTACAGCCAGAAAAGGATCAATTTTCCCAAAAGCTTCATATAAAAAACAACATATATCTCTAATAATACAGCTTCAAAGAAATAAAATAAGTAAAAAATGCAAGTTATTGTCGGTTTATGGCTTGCATTTTTTACTTATTTCATATAAAAAAAATTTTATTCTACGTTTTTGCTTATTGTT